TCCGTGAGTCTCGCATCAGAGTCTTCAAGGAGAAGGGCCTGGAGAACGTCGCGGACGCCGGCACGAAGTACCTGAGCGGGCCGAAGCTGGAGGCGATCATGGAGCGCCTCGGCTACGTGTACCAGGCCGGAGAGAGTGCTCTGGGTCTCCGCGTGCAGCGGGGAGTAGGGGTTTGAGCAGGCTGCGGCGTACAGTGCGCGGGTGCGGGCACGGTGAATGACCGACGCCCTACCCGCGAGGAGGAGTGTGAAGAGTAGTATGCCTCCGAGCGGAGGCGTGGCCAAAATATCCCGTAGTATGCCCCCGAGCGGAGGCGTGGCCAAAATATCCCGCCAGGCGCTCGCATGCAGTCAGCGTATATCTGAAGCCCCTTTTGGCCCAGGGAGAGACAAAACATTTGGAGGAGGAGGAGGAGGAGGAGGAGGAGGAGGAGGAGGAAGAGGAAGAGGAAGAGGAAGAAGAAGAATAAGAAGAAGACGAAGAATACGAAGAATAATAAGAAGAAGAATAAGAATAATAATAAGAAGACGAAGCAGAAGCAGAAGCAGAAGCAGAAGCAGAAGCAGAAGCAGAAGCAGAAGAAGAAGAAGAAGAATGAGAAGAAGAAGAATAATAATAATAATAAGAAGAAGAATAATAAGACGAAGAAAACGAAGAAGAAGAAGAAGAAGAAGAATAAGAAGAATAATAAGGAGAAGAAGAAGAAGAAGACGAAGAAGAAGAAGAAGAAGACGACGACGAAGACGAAGAAGAAGAAGAAGACGAATAAGAAGAATAATAATAAGACGAAGAAGAATAATAAGAAGAAGAATAAGAAGAATAAGAATAATACGAAGAAGAAAAAGAAGAAGAAGGAGGAGGAGGAGGAGGAAGAAGAAGAAGATGAAGAAGGAGGGGGAGGAAGAGGAGGAAGAGGACGTTTCGTGGACACTGGAGGCCACAGTTCACGGATGTGGGGCCTCTTGGAGGCATATTTAGCGTTCTCTAGTGGCCTCCCGCCGCCGTGCCTGGGTTGTGTATCGGAGGCATCTTGGATGCCTGCTGGGGCCTCTTTGGATGCCCGTGGGGGCCCTCTTGGATGCAATTGTTGGGCCTCTTGGGTGCCGTTCTTGAGCCAGTTGGGCCTTATTTGGAGCCTTTTGGTGGTGTCTTGAGTCGTCCAGGGGTCTTTTTGTGGGCCTGCTGACGGTCTCCAGGGTCCTCTTCGGGGCGGAGGCCTCGAAATGTCAGTTCGAGTTTCCCCTCTGGAGGCCTCTCTTGGGGTCCTCCTGGGCCGGGCCTCTTGGGCCGTCTCGGGGCCCTTTGGGGCCGTCTGGGAGCCCTCTTGGGGGCCTCTTGGGCCGTCCCAGGGAGATATTGGGGGCCGCTTGGGCCGTCTTGGAACGTCGGGAAGCTCGACTAGCGAGAACGCCAAAAACCTTGAGAAACTTGGGAATCATACAATCTTTAGCCCGAACAGACGAAAGCGTCAGTATTTGAAAGCCATGGGACCGTTGATGATTTTGGCACCTCGGGGCCCTCTTGGATCCATCCTGAGTAATTTTGGGGTCTCTTGGGCGTCTTGAGCGATCTTTCGGTGACTGGGGGCCTTCTTGGACTGGGTTGAGGGCCTCTTCAAGCTCTCTTGGCCCGTGGGGGGGCCTTTGGCTCCGGAAGAGTCTCGCGAGAGCATGCGGGGAACCGCGGCACGCCCCAGAGCAATCGTCAGTTGGGGGTCCGTGCCCTCAATATTCATTCAGGACGGAGGACTGAAGAGACTTGAGGACACTCCAGCTCGTACCTGGCAGCACGGTGGCGGATATAGGAGCTGGACCCTGCAGCCGTTACCTTCAGATCAGGTAGGCGTGTCCCCTACCGTGGAGGGCTACACAGCAGAGTTGGACCCGATCGTATGCAACAACAATGCAACATGTGTGTGTGTGTTATGTTCTGTATGTGTGTTTGTGTGTGTGACGTGTGTGTGTGTGTGTGTATGTGTGGGCGTGTTTGTGTGTGTTGTGTGTCTGTGTGTGCGTGTGTGTATGATGTGTGTGTGGGTGTCTGTGGTGTGTTGTGTGATGTGTGTGTGTGCGTGTGTGCGTGTGTGCTGTGGTTGGTGTTGTGAGTGCGTGTGTGTGTGTGTGTTCTGGGTGTGTTTTGTGTGCCCATGCCTGGGTGTGCGCAGGTCATGGTTGATCTCCTCGTGTGGGTCCCTGCCCCAGCTTCTCGGGGGCCGACTCGGACTTTCTACGCCTCGACGCTGCTCGCGAGGCTGCGGCGCCAAACAATGGATATTTGTGTGTTTGTGTGTGTGGTGGGTGTCTTGTGTGTGTGTGTGCGTGTGTGTGCGTGTGTGTGTAATGTGTCAGTGTGTTGATATTTCCCTACCTAGGCTCTGCCTAGAAGGGTTCTCACTCTCTTGGCTTAAAGGGGCCGGGCAGTGTAAATCGCCCCGGGCGGTTCCCCCAGTATCCGCCCCGCGGTTACCCCAGTTGCGCCCCCTTAGCTTAGCTTTGCTTATCTCATCTTAGTTTAGCCTAGCTTAATTTAGCTTAGCTTAGCTTAGCTTTGCCTAGCCTAGCTTAGCTTAGCTTAGCTTAGCTTAGCTTGGCTTGGCTTAGCTTAGCTTAGCCTAGCTTAGACTAGCCTAGCCTAGCTTAGCTTAGTTTAGTTTAGCTTAGCGTAGCCTAGCCTAGCCTAGCCTAGCTTAGCTTAGTGTGTGTCTGTGCGCAGGCAAAGCAAACACAGCATAAAGTAAAAGCAAACACAAAAGCAAAGCAAACGCAACAGCAAACGCAACAGCAAAGGCAAAGATAAGGCAATGCAAAGCAAACGCGACACCAATGCGAAAGTGTAGATGTAGATGTAGGTGTAGGTGTAGGTGTTGATGTGGACGTAGGTGTATATGTAGGTGTAGATGTAGATGTAGGTGTAGATGTAGGTGTAGATGTAGATGTATATTGAGTCTCGCTGTTGATGTTGATGTAGCTGTAGATGCAGGTGTAGATGTTAATGCAACTGTCGGTGTAGATGTAGATGTTGCTTTCCTAGATGCTCCAACTCCTAGGTAGGGTCGCACTGGGATAATTTGTTCCAGATTGCAGCGTGGCAGGCACAGTGGCGGATAACATAATCCCCTGGGTGTGCCCAACAAGTGCCAAGGCGATGGTCGTTGTCGTGTCCGCCTGCGCACGGTGGCGCGGAGACACGCGTGAACCCTTGACGTCTACGGCCCCACCTTCCCCCCTCTCCCCCTCCTATCCCTCACCTTCTCCTCCCCTTCGTCCTCCGCATCATCTTTCTCGTCGTCCTCACCATCCTCTTCCCCCTAGTTTTGTTGTTCCTCCGTCTCCTCCTCCTCTACCTCTTCCCCCTCCCATCTCACCTTCCCTCCTCTTTCCTTATTGTTTCCCTCCTCTTCAGCCCACACCCTGCCCCTTTCATTTTTTCCCCATATCCCGTTCGTTCGCCCCTCCTCCCGCCTCATTCGCCCTCCACTTCTCCTATCTCTTTTGTTCTTCGTCTTCCCTCTCTCCCTTCTCCCTCCGCACCCTTTGCTTTGGTCGTCCTCGTCGTGGTGGTCGTTCTCGTCTTTGCGTCGTCGTCGTCGTCATCCTCCTCCTCCTCTTCTCTCGGCCGAACGGTCTCTCCCTGTTAGCCGTCCACCAGTCAGGTGAGCGGTGTGAAACGGTCTCGGGAAATGTCGATCGACCGATTTTCGTTTGTAGGAGATGTGGTGCCTGGGCCCAGCAGCGACGTCGCCACACGCTCAGGGCACCCTGCATCAAGCCGACGCCCAAAGGTATTGAGATCCTTCGAAACCTCAGGAGGGGCGTCGAAGCATATTGCTTGTGCGATCCCAGCCGGCAGAGTAGCGCCCACACGCCGCGCTCCTCGCACCGTGACCACCAGCGTTTCGGTTCGGCCGAATCCCGCCTCAACTTGGGCGTATGAATTGAGGCTCGCAGCTCTCCACAAGCGAGTGCGCCAGCGAGAACTGGCGCGATCGGCTGAGGGCTCAGCAGGTGGCGCAAGCGGCAGTGTGCCACTGTGAGCCCACGAGCGCCGCCCTGCTGGGACCATCTCGGCCTAGCAGGTTGCGTAAGCGGTAGTGGGCTAGCTCGTGCCCACGAGCGCCGCCCTGCTGGGGCCCCAGAGTCCTCACGTGACAAGTCCGTCTCGGCGTGCTTCTTCTTCTTTTTCCTCCTCCTCCTCCTCCTCCTCCTCCTCCTCCTCCTCCTCCTCCTCCTCCTCTCCTCTCCCCCCCTCGTCCCCCCCGTTCGTCGTCCATTTTCCACTCGTCCTCCTCGTGCCCCTCCTCGGCGTACTCCTCCCCTCCACTCCTCGCCCCCCTGCTCCTCCACCCCTTTTCCTGATAATCACTCCTTCCTGTGGCACCCGTGGACGTGTCGGTAGGGCGGGCCGGGCGTTTCACCCAAGACTTCCTCACCATTGCTGATCCTGAAGCTTGACCGTTGTAACAGTTTCAAGAATGTATGCCGGCCCGTTTTCAAACCGTGGTTCTCGCTTGAGCACTGCGCACATTAGGTTCACAGTTTGCAGCGGTTTCAGTGATGGAGGGCGGCTCCTTTTCAACCATTGACTCTCGCCTTAGCGCCGCGCATATTCGTTTTACACTTGGTAGCAGTTTGAGAAATTTCGGGCGGTACCTTGTCACAATTTGGCTCTCGTCCTAGCGCCGAGCATACCGGTCGTAAAGTGTGCAGCAGTTTTGAGGGCTGGTATGTTTGAAGTCTCAGGAACTGTTCTCTGACGAGGTTTCAACAGGAACGGTGTTTTGGCACGGTTGAGGATTGCCAGGACGCAGCACCCACGATGATTCGCGGCGTTGAAATCCGAAGGTTTATGCTTTTGCACGATAGAGGGTTACCAGACGTGTGTCTTCCAATGTCGCAATATCACATCTATTATTATTGTAGGGAGGGTTCATTGCAACATCGTTGATACGTCTTGTGTTTACATTGGTCCTCCTCCTCTGGGGCCCTCCGACCGCTCAGCAG